AATAAATGTGCCACTCACCAGGTGACCTCTGTCTCAATCACTTACTTCTGTAGGCTATTGAACATGAAACTGCCTCACACTTTTGACCAAACAGTATGATTTAAGGGAACACCTTATGCCATTTCATCATTTTTATTTTAAAGCATCCTCAACTGTCAGTTATTTGAAGCAATGGATATAGGATCACTGGCAAAAAAAATACAACTGACTCACAAACATGAGCACAGCTTTGAGTTTATCAACCAACTGGACATTTACAAACCATGATGCTATTTGACTTTAGTAACCAACACACAAAAAAGGGAAGAAATTTTCCAAATCTATCACAAATATATTTCCTCCCCCAGAAAAAGCAGTAACTTCTGACCTTTCCATGTTAGAAGCATCATCTTGATCTTTCCTTGTTTTTTTAACCAAAAATGTAAATATTTCTTCTGATTTCTTTGGGAAGGAATGTGTAGCCAATTTAGAAGAATCTCTAAAATTCAGTTAAATTAGTAAAATAACACAAAGTGGGGGAAATCATATAATTCTAGATTTCATCTTAAAATTCATTTCAGTCATCCCCACAGTTGGGTATGTGTCTGTTTTTTCTCTGAACATTTCCATTCTGGACATTGATGGGTCCAATTTCATCCTATGGGGAGACATCTGACCTGGTCTACCTTTGCTAATCCAATTCTGAGGAAATTTTCTTTATCACTGATATAAAGCAAAAAGTTCCTCTATTAATAATAGAGGTGATGCTTTGTTCTTCCCACTCTCAATTATTCCTTCTCATTGCTTATTAAATGCAGATTTCACATTAGGAAGAAGAGCAGGCTTCTTAGACCACAACAGATAAGATCTCTTTCCAAAGGCATACTTTTTATAATTTGGTGCAACTAATAATTTCCATGATAACAATATTTGAACTTTTCTTTTTTTACAATAATTACAAAAGATCTTCTGATAGTTTCCCCTGGCAGCCACTGTCATTGCCATTATATGATGAGTTAATAGTTGCGAATTTGTAAAACAGGTCACTGTGTGTAAAAAAAAGATTAAAGGCCTGTGTCTTAAATGCTTTTGAAGCCTTATCTGCTACTGCACCAGATAAACCTTGTTCACAATTTTAAAAAATAATCCTTTGAGGTGTCTATTTTTTACACATGTATTAAGAGAGTGTTATGGTTTGTCTGTGTGTCCCTCCAAAGCCTCATGCGGCCATGGGGCAGGCTTTTAGAGTTGATTGATTGTGGATGTGAGAGCTGCACCCACCCTGGGGTGGATAGTTTGCATATGTAAGGGAGAGGAAAAGAGTGCTTGAGGCCATTCCTCCCCATTCCTCCCTGGTGTGTGCTTGTTGCTTTTGCTGTTGTCTGCTGCCAGGAGCTGTAGCCCTCTGCCATGTGCCACTCTGCCTTATAATCTGCCAAGTATGGACTGAAACCTCCGCGAACTGTAAGTGAAATAAACCTTTCCTTCCTTAATTTTGGGCATCAGGTATTTTGTCCCAGCAGTGAGAAAAAAGTAACCAAGACAGAGAGCAAAGATAAGCAACTTTCTTATTGTCATAGACCTAATAGGTGACAGGACTATGTACTTACATATGTAATTGGTACCTCTGTTCACAAACTCAATTCTCTCCATGATTCTGGTTATAAACTGAACTCCATGAGAATGGAATCAAATCTCTCCATAAGGTCAATATTGAATCTAAACACTGAATGTGATTTGATTTCCATCCACCTCAGTTTGTGACCAGAATCATGGAAAGTATCAAGTTCATGACCCAAGGTACCATTGAAAGTGAACACACACCAAATGCATATTTAAATTTCAGAGGTAATGTGGTTAGAAATATTAAACCAATGCATTTTACTTTTACTCATTTATGTTCCAATATAGGCTTTCTCTTTTCCTAAGGGTAGAAAATGGAAAATGGAAAAAACGTCCTAGTTATCTTTGGAGTAAGAGATACTGAGAGCTGTGCATTACATATACAGAGAAACAATTGAACTGTATTTCTTTGCTGTCATTTACTTTATCAAGATTTAAATCGGCAGACACTCAGGGCCCAGAGTTTTCTACTGAGGAGAGACTTTGCCCTGATGCTTCCTTGGGGATTAATTATTAACCTTGAATCAAGAAGAAGTAGATAATCTCAGAAAAGCTGCTCTTTTGTGGGTCCTGGGGAAGAATGGAAGAAAAGGGGGGCCAAGGGAAGAGGAAAGAAGAGAGGAAGTTATTGTGAGAGGTACATGTTCTCATGTTTCCTTCTATCTGCATTGTTCCAAGGATGGGAGGGATAGGTTGAGATGACAGAATATTACCAAAATGACAAGAGCATTTGTCCCATTTCCTACTTCGGAAACAGGAGGCATATGCCAGCTTGGGGCACAGCAGCACAGAAGTGCACTCAGCTGTCCAGCAAGACGCCGTGATGGACATATCATAGTTGATATTTCTTGGGCCTCTCAATTTTGAGGAAGTGGAAATGGCTCTGAAGTGGATTGAAAGTCACCTGCAGACCAGCTAGAACTGACCATCTGAGATGGTGGAGGGGGTAGCCAATAAAAGGGGAGCCCAGTTAAGGCCCTAGAAGGGCTAATGGGCAAGTCTCAGCCAGTAGTGAAACTATAAAAAATTCCAATAACAAGTATTTCACTGTACTTTCAAGATACGTCACAATGACCATTTAAACAAAGTGTGTAGAGAAACATTGTAAAATAAATTGCTAATAAAAGAAATCACCAGGAGATGCCAAACAGAGGTGGAATCAGCCAGGGAAAGCTACCAGGCTCTGACCATACCGTGTCATAGGTATCTCTGTGCTATCACAAATTCACATGCAACAGAGCAATGCAAAAGAGCAATGAGGGGGAAAAAGAGCATCCTAGAGCTCAAAGGAGACCTTCACAAGGATCCTTGTCCAGCTAGGTATGCCACATGTTCCACACCACAGCTGAAGTCAAACACTCACCCCAGACACAGAGGCAATCTTGACCTGCAGGGATGGAAGGTGGGTTGAAATCAACCATTCGCCAGAGAGAATAAGCAACACCTACAGCACTGTTCAAATTAGTGCTTCAAAATAAATTCTAATAGTTTTTACCTAAAGCCAGTAGGTTAGAGTCAAAATAAGGGGAATGTATATTATCTGAATATCTTCTGTATTGTGGTGTTGAGAAAGAATACACCTACCATTTTCAGATATAATGTATCAGATTTGTTAAGAAAAACTTAACTGCACCACATGATTTTATCAAGCTACTTTTGAAATAAAGAAAATTCCTAAAGAGAACTTACATATTTTACGGATGTTAATTTTTTTGTTTGTTTTTTTTTCCGGTACCGGGAATTGAACTCACGACCTTGCGCTTGCCAGGCAGGCGCTGTGCCGCTGAGCTAAATCCCCAGCCCCGAACTTACATGTTTTAATAAAGTTATAGATAGGTTAAGTAGCCCCTAGGGGTGATTTTTAAGCATTATTTGGTAGAATAGTTTCAACTTTATTTTTGAAAAGGGCAATCATAAAATTTTGTCAAAGGATGGATTTCATATTTTTGAGATACAACAACATCTGTGACTGTTCAATAATTTAAATAAAATGGCAGTTTTCTGAGAATAAGCTCTTCTAGTCATTCCAGAACAAATATCTTGATCCAGTTAATTTAACTCATATTATTTTGGTAAGTTTCTGCAGAGACTTTATGAATTTATCACTGAAAATACACTGGCATCTAGACACAGTCTATGTACTGGTGATCAATGAAAGGAATCATATTTCGATCCAAGGGAAAGTATCCTTTGTGGACATGATGTTGGGGCTATTTCTTTGTCACTGGACCTATAGTTCCATAGAGTTTGGGAGTCTCATAGTGCTGGAACGCCTAAAACTCAATATTGAATTGCAAGCACTTCTCCATGAAAGTGGTCAAACAGTCCTCTTCAAAATTCCTTTCTAGCTTGTATTCCTAGGAGAACTCTTCATGTCTCTTAAGGAATTAGTGTCTCACTGTATTTGAGAGCAATTTAGCATAAAAAAGTAAATAACCTTGGTCAAAATCATTCTTGAAAGGAAACATACACAGAAAAGCTTGAATCAAAAGGAACTGAAATGAGACATCTAAGTAAAGACAAACAATTCTGATACAAAAGATACAATGTATTTTATTTTTATTTTTTATTTTAAAAATTAAAAAATGACAAAACAACAATGAAGACAAAATCAAAACAGTTTCCCTATCCATGAGTAGGTATAATTAAGGACCTTATATAGCTGTGCTACTCTAATTATTATGATAAATTGCCAATATGATTCATCCCAAAATAAGTGATATCTTGCTAGACACTGGTAATTTACTTAAACTTGTTAGCATAATAACAGATACAATGACAGAAGCTCCAGAATCATATTAACATCTATAGCTTGGTCTGCTCTTGCAAACATGTTGCTGAATCAAAATTAAAGATGCTTGTAATGAAAATATTGTTTTGATCATATGATGGTTTAACATATATCATTTTCTCAGTTGGGAGTGCTATAAAACATGACCAGATCACAACAGCTATTTCATCCTCTTAATTTCTTTACTATGTTAATAAATTACCTGAAAGTGAGGAAAATTATCACCAGAAAACGAAGCAAAACCATTAAAGTTATTTACCCAACTGTGGCATTTTAAAACTGTGGAACTTTAAAAACATCCAATAAAAAATTTCATTCTTTTTCAACATATATGACAGGGGCCATTTAAACAAAATATATTGACAAATGTTATAAAATAAACTACTAATAAGAAATGAATTTTTACTGAAATATTTAAAAATTGATTTCCACAACAGTTAGTTAGGGGAGGAAAAACAACTTTATCACATGACTTCAATAACTGAGGTCAAATGACGTATTTGAATAAAAATAATTTAGGTCAAAAGTTAATTTTTTACCCCAAATACCTCTGTCTTGCACTATTACAGCAATGGCAGTTTCGATTAGCTTTAACTCTACATTTCAATACATCTTACAGAATGCAGTAGATTTAAAATTGAGATTAGGTTGCAGTAAGGAGACGAGTTCTAGTCCTAATTAGTAGGACCACTCCAGGGTCCTAATCCTGGGAAGCTGTAAATGTTACTTTATGTGGAAAAAGGGTCTTTGCAGATGGGATTAAAGTAAGGATCCTAAAGTGGAAAGATTGTCCTGAACTATATAGGTGGGCCCTTATCTCAGCGTCAATGCATTCTCCTAAGACAGAGATGTGACCCCCACAGAGAAGAGGACATGAAGTTGGAGACAAAGATCAGAATGATACAACCACCAGCCCAGGAACGCCTGTGGCCACCAGAAAGTAGAAGAGGTAAGAAGTTTGATCTCTTTTGGATCATCCAGGGGAAAAACATCTCTGTCAACAACTTGATAGTGGAATTCTGTCCTCCAGAATCATGAGATGGTACATGTCTGCCATTTTTAGCCTCCTACTTTGTGGGACTTTGTTGCAGTATCAGTAAGAAAATAATACACAGGATTTTATTTTATTTTTTCCATCCAACCCAAAGATTTAGAATCAAAGATGATTTTACATATTTTTTGTGCAGTGCTGTTTTTCTAATGACTCTGGAGCAAGGCAAAGGCAAAATTCCATTGAAAAATGCATTAGCTAAAAATATAGCTAGTCACGGTAGTTCAAATGTATGGTTCCATCAAGCCACTTTCAGACTGGAAAATGGTTTTGAATATATGGATAAGTATTTTTTGCCCATTGCAATTTTGTCATGTTTTGGCTATTTCAACTCCCCTTAATACTCAGTCCTACTATTTCCTTATTTGAAACAATCAAGTAGAGAATAACAATACATAATGTATGCTCTTCATTAGATTTTTTAATTATTTCCTCAATATTTAGCTAAAATGTCATTATTTTGTAAAACTAACCCCTAGTTGTGACATCATATACTTTTAATGAATGGCATAGGTCAAACTTTGTTTTTTCTTCTCTTTATTGTATTTCTAGGATAATTTCTAGGTGGCTAAAGTTAGAAACATTCATTATCTCATTAAAGCTTCTCTGAAATAGCTAAAAACTGAGCTTCTAAAAATCACTTTTGGCTATTAAATTTTTACAGAAGTCTGCTACAGGAAAGCCAGTGTGTTTTTTGAACCATTTCCTGTCCTTATTGCAGCAATCATGAAAAAGAGGAATGCTTTAGCTAAACCAGCTGCTGGATTGCCAAGAATAGTAAATTACTCTAACACTCCTATTTGATGTGATTCTGCCGTGTTTTTTTTCAGTAGGATTTCCTCACTTTTCACAACTATTTGTTTCCAGTCTAAATTAGCTCCCTACAAATAGCCTCTAATCAGATGCCTAGTTAGCTCTTTACAGATTTGCTAGAAATAAAGAGAACTCCAGTTCATTAGCCTCACCTCTCTTTAGAGTTAAAAATAATAAATTTTCATCACAATCTTCCATTCTTGCTTTGAGATAGATCATTGTTTATAGTAAAAACAATAATGATGACAACAGCAAAACACAAGATTCTGTGAATTGGAGGAATTTGGAATTCTTCATGATTATTAAAATATATCTTTAAATGTTCTAGATTAAAAAGCAGCAACCATGAAAATGTCATGTTTTTTTGGACAAGTGCTAGAAAGATAATTCAAGTCTCTTTTAATTGTCTTTAGATTCAGGTATTGTCATCTTCCCAAATATTGTTAATTTTAGAGTCACTCTGATTAACCTTTTTAACTACCAGAAAAACTTCAGCAATGTTATATAAACTCTGAGCTGACCTCACCTTCTTGATTTGGGCAAGCCATTTATGTGATGATCTATTTATTCTTAGAGGAATAAAATTCATTTGGATTACATAAACTAAGAGAGAGAACTTGCACCTGGATATATTTCTTGATGGTTGCTTTCCTTGTCCCACATTCACTTTGGAATAAAGAAGATACAATCCTTCTCAAGAAAGAGGTCGTGCCTCCAAGGTTGCAAGTGTTTCTAGAGGATAATAGATTCCACCGACACATATGGTAAGGATGTAATTATATTAATGACATGACATAAACAAAAAGGTTGTTGAAATTTTCAATAGCAGTTTATTGTTTCTTTGCCTGTATAAATTATGAATTTCAGTTCCTTTCATTCCACTACCTGTGACACTGTTCTTTATAGGCAAATATTTGAGTCTGTGGAAGTCTTTTTAGGGGCATGACCTACGTTTCTCTTAAACATTTATCTGAATAGAATCCTAGTATTCAGCCTATACATTAAATCTTAATAATTGTACTTCAGAAAATTTGGGTGATACAGCTAAACTTCTTATGCTGTTGCATTAAGAGCTTGGGCCTTGGTATTGGCCAGACTTGAGTTTAGACTTCTTTTTTTTTTGTTGTTTTTTTTCTAGTACCGGGAATCGAATTCACGACCTCATGCTTGCCAGGCAGGCACTGTGCTACTAAGCTGAATCCCCAGCTCCCTGAGTTTAGATTTCAATTCTACAACTCAGCAGTTCCATAAAGTAAAGAAAGATATAGCAAAAATATCTTAACAATATTTTATTTCCTAACATTATTGAAAAGGTATTAACTGAAGAATATGGAAATACTGATTTTTATTTTAATTCCTTTGCTTCTATAATGGCAATCCAATAAGTCAGTAGCACTAAAGAGCTTACAGTGTCTTACTGTGGAGAGGGCTGGCCAAGGTCCTATGTTAGGTGCATGACAGGTGGTGCCTGGATATAAATTAGAAGAATTTCTTGTAATCATATCATAGGGCTTTTTATTCCCATTGAAAAAGCATCTGATTTCAAACTCAAGACAATATGAATGTGATTACGGGAGACATTTACACAGAGAATAAAATACTCAGACATGTTAGGTACTCACATGTCAAGGGCAGTGATGTGGGAGAGGGAGTAACACTAGATTCACACAGACCATTAAACACTTCATTGCAATGGGTAACATACAACCACAGCGCCAAATACGAATCACAGCTAGGTAAAGCAGAGCATAGTTTTAAAGGAAGATGGAACGACTTAACATAGAATTCAGATGTAAAGATTAGCTTTGCTCAGCTAAATAGGAGTGTATCGTTAACAGGAGCAATATAATCAGGTTGACTTTTTATATTCACAGGCAAAGAGAATGGGAGCTAAGGAAGATGACACCCTTTCCTGCTTGAGTAGGCTTCACCCCACTCAGCACAGCCCTCAAGGGGCTCCTAGTCTCAAGCATGAACAAAAGTGTAAGACTGAAGTCCAGCATGCAGTTACTTTTCTAAAGTAAATAAGTCCTGGATAAATATACTCTAGCCTCATAACAGATCTCCCAAAGAAGTTAATACATAGCAGCATTATTCAATTCAATGCTATTAACATTCATTTTCTTTCTTCTATGTACCCTGATTTGTGTTAATCTCCAAGGAAAGACAATAACTGGAATAAGCTAACAATTCAGAATTCTTTATATGCAGTGACTTTTTTTACTGTGATAGTTGCTTATCATTTATATCTAGCAACTTATGTGCCTCTTCTGTGTGGGAGTTGTGCATATTTCCTTCAGCATAAGGAGACCTCTAACATTAATCTATTATATTTATTATATTTAATAGGCTTAACGTTATAAGGACACTAAAAGGGAACTCTAGTTACTCTACTAAAAACCACCCTGTGAGGAAAGGGAGCCCAAATTCCTTTGCTTTGATTTTTATATTGGCAGAAATATTTTTTTTTTTTTTTTTTTTTTTTTTTTTTTTTTTTTTTTTTTTTTTGTTTTTCTCTGGTACCGGGAACCGAACTCACGAACTTGCGCTTGCCAGGCAGGTGCTTTTGCCGCTGAGCTAAATCCCCAGCCCCTTTTTTTTTTTTTTTTTTTGGTTTTGGCAGAAATATTTTTATTTTATCCTTCCTGTGTAAAGTTGGGGAGGAAGGTAATTAACAATTTGACTTTCTCCACCTCAACTTGCATTATCTCACTGTCAAAAAGCCATTAGAAATTATCGTTAACTTCATTATACTTTTTGTTCATATATTTTCAAAAAATTTAAGAAATGAATGATCAAGAATGTGTACAAAATCTTTTGCAATTCATTTGCAATAAAATCATGACACAGCAATGGCATGGATGCTGAATTATTTTCACTTGGGAAAGTCTTTAATAATCACATAATCAGAGAACCTAAGAATATGTTTTCAAACATGAATCTGTGCTTCATGGAAAGGAATGAACATATTTTAGAAAGTGTGTGCATAGTTATGTTTGTCTTCTTTCCTGAGAGGAATAAGCTTTTTTAGCTATCATTGCAATCTAGTAAAGTTTTATACTTACTGAGTTCAATAAAGACATTATATTGTGTCCAAAGATCACTAAAAATGATTTATCTACTTTCTACTGGGAAAACAGGCTCAGCACAATGCGTGGTAGACACTTGTTTTTTCCAAGTTTTGAGTTATCTCGTCAGAAGCTCTTAAGTGAACATCACATATTATATTGGTCACTTAGGAAATGTGCATGAATCAGTGGCCCTAGCTCCGCAGCCAGCTTCTGTGTGGCTAGGTACTAAAAGTGCCGCACTGCCATGTCACTCTGGGAGTCCATTCAGAAAGGATTTAAACTCTGACAAAACAACAGAAACTTCTTTAGTTTGTCTTCCCTTGGTGTGTTGTGAAAGTTTTCCCCCTTTAGGCTTCCTGCTGTTCAGAGTCTCTGCCTCAGTGCCCTCCCAGAGTAAATACTCTCTCCAGTGCAATATAGTGATGTGCAAGTCTTGAAGATTTCTGTACTAAAGAATGATCAGCAATACACAAGTCATTTTAAAATTAAGGTACAGATATTTTATCAAAAAGTTAATTTTTGGGAAAGATCAAAATAAGATGTTTTGTGATTAAAAACATCAAATTTGTAATAAAAGCTGCTTTAAAAATCTGAGTGCAAGAATTATTTTTGTTGAGAAGGCATTTTTATTTAAAATCAAATTTGTTATTGTACATATATTTAATGTTTTCTTTGTACACACAAATACACCCCCCACACACACACACATTCTGCTCCCTTACTTTCACGCACCTCTGGCCTGACTCTTACAATGTCTACCTATAGAGTGAACTCCACATTGTATGCATCTCCTTGTTTGTAAAATGAAGATAACAATGCCGTTATGATGGCACTTTTGTGATTATCAGTTGAGGATATGATAGTGAATCCTGCATAATTGCAAACTCAGTAGTTGATAGCCACATGGTTATTAGATTTTAATATAAAACTATAAATATTTTAACTAAATGAATGTTAGAAAGTAGTCACCAAGACATTTTAATCTCAGACACATTAAGTAGAGAATTAAAGAGTTATAAGGAAGCAGCTTGGTATTTTCAAGTGTTATCTTTGGAATAATAAAATAATCTCTTTCAAAGGCACATAATTCTTGGTATACTGATCTACCTACTTGAATATATTAAAGCTTTAATAATGTTATAATACCCACATGACCCTATTTCTGCTTACACAACTAGATGAATATTCTTGATATAAAATTCATTCAAAGATTGTTTTTGTTTGATGCTTGTCAATTTAGAATACCAAGCATTGAAAACATGAGTACACATTATCTTCTCCTAAAAATGTTTATTTGCTTACTGCTTTCCACTTACCTACCTGCAGCCATATGCGAGAGCTGAGCTCTGTGGGATAATCTGTGTTAATTATAACTTCTGAATCACCTCAGTGTATATATAGAGAGAGACAGTACACCTTGGAAGCAACTAAGAAGAGGGCCCAGCTTTTAAACATGGTTTGAATGGATTTAGTAGTTTTTCTGGCTAATATTACACAATGGTACAATTCAAGAATACACACTTAAACAATTTTAAGTCCTTTGATATTCAGCTACTCATTTTCATAGAGTGGGTTTTTTTCTTTCCTTCTTTAGGTTTTCTTACTGTATTTCTAAATAACAGTTCAAATTTAGAAAAACCTTTAATTATTCTTAACACACACATTTTCTACCTTCACCAAACCAGATTAATAAATAAGAATTTTCCTTGGTCATATGAAATATGTATTTTAAGTATTTATTTAAAGCATACATATACTTTATATTTAATATATATGTATATAAACACATAAATATATACTTTGATAGGTGAATTTATAGTTTAAGATGAACTCAGGTGTGCAGTATTGGACAAAAATTACAATAAATATAATAGTTATAATAAAACTTAACAATTTATATTATTTCTTTTTTTCTTATTAAAACATATGGGGAAAGTCGTTCTATCCTCAGCAAACAAGAGGTCAAATAATTTCTTTTTTTGGAGATAGGATCTTCCTTTGCAGTTGACTGACCTTGAACTCACTGTCTAGCCCAAGCTGGCCTCAAACTCACGACAGTCCTCCTGCCTCAGCCTCAAGAGTGCTGAGATTACAGTTCTGCACCACCACACCTGGCCAAATAACTTCTTATCATCATTGAGATGCTATTTCTAAACATACTATTCTTAATGATAAACTAATAAGGTAACAGAGTCTGTTATAGACCTTCAAGGTTTTGTTACATTTTGCTAAAATTTTAAAATGACATAAACACTGTGGTAGGTTAAAAGTTACCATTTTTCATTTTTCTAATTATAGTTTTTACAGATTTCTATTAATAATGATTAGAAGACAATATTCACATTGCCTGACATTTGATAGGAATCTTTGTATCATGGCAAATGCAACTATTTCTTGTTCAATCTAAGGAGCAGGTTGTTATTAATCATTTCAGTAATTAATTTAAACAGTTAGTATTTGTTGAAAAATACTGGGAAATCAAGAATGAATAAGACTGCAGTGCCCTCAGCAAACTGACAGTGGAATGGGGCAGATGGACTCATAAGTCAATCATTGCAAGAGAATTGAGTGTGGTCTAGACCTATAGTAGAGCTAGGTGCACAGGATGTAGGTGAAAAATGGAGGGAAGAGTCAGATGTAACAAGAAGATTAAGGACATTTTCAGAGATGACAAAGTATGTGAACTGAGTTTGGAAGAGGAACAAGAGTTTGATGTATGGTTAGCACACAATCATGCCCTTGGGGTCATGACATGCACAAAATGCTGGGCGGCTTCTAGGTGCACCTTGGCCAGCAGAGGCAGAGGTTGTCTGCAGCAGACACAGGAGAGAGTGTGTCACACACTGTCCCGGGGTGTCTATAATTCATTGATCCTATGTTAGGCCATTTTCATCAGGAACTCACATTATTAAAGGTTTCATCTTTAGCCTGCCTTGCCATACGATCTGTTTCCAAGGTTATTTCTTTCTCCTTTTCATGTTCATATTATGCTTAAAATTAGGTGCTAATCAAGTGCACCAATTCCTAAAATCACACTGATAAAGATTTCACCTATTTTCTATCTCTAATTTATATCAGACTTCAGGTCTTTATGTCCCCATTGTACTCTGACCCTAAGATACTGAATAAAATACTTCACTCTTCTTCAGCATTTGAAGATGATATTCTAAGAAATATTAGATAACTGACTTAACCAGTCTTCTGTGGAAGAATTTTAAAGTCAGATATAATTTTTAATGCAAGCACCACAAATACACAATGGTCAATAAAACGTTGAAAACAGAAACAAAAACAGAACTCCTAAAAATAAGAATCCATGAAAATCTGTCTTTCGGTGGGACTGATGCTCCTACTGCTTGCCTTTCTTTTTTATTTGTATTACATTCTATCCTAATGTGAGACTTCAAAACATGCATGTTGGGAACACGGAGGTGCTAGAAGTATGGAGTGGGGCGGATACCAGAAAAATAGGACCAAAGGCATGTCTGTCCCAGGCCCTCACACATGGACAGCCAAGCAGCAGCCAGGCCTGCTCCCATGTCCGTGGTGCATAGGGTCTTACTTAGGAACACACCTCCAAATCCTGTATGCTTAAAACTCAGATGGTTTACAATGGACATGTGAGGGAACAAGACCTGGCTTTCTGATCTGAGTGAGGTGTGCCAGCCAGGCATCACTGGTCTAATGAGATGAATACAAAGCACATGTCCATGCTCCTGGCTCCAACTGCTGCCCCCAGTTATCAGTGCTTTGCACCTTGGGGGAAAAAACATGACTCACTTGGAAAAATGACGCTCACCCATTAAAACCTCTTAATTTTGTCCAATACAAACCCCAAAGACAATGCCTTAGGTTGATTGATAATAAGACAAGTCCCGAATCCAATGCTGAGCATGTGGTTGTATTGAAACAATGTTGAACAGTGTGATTATGTAAAACTCTCACTCTCCATTGCTCTGGTACATATTCTACATCTCCACAACCTTTCTATGCTATTCCTTTTTTGAAAAGGGAAGGTCACATTGAAACATGGCAACAGCATGAACTTCATAACAAATTAAGCACAGATCTGATCTTCCCAGATAGGTTTTAAAAAGATAACAGGTTTTGTCATTCTTATTTTCTTAATGAGAATAGATTCAAGTTATGTTTGCATTTCTCAACTTGAGCATTTGTTCATTTCTTTTCTGAAATTCTGAACCTAACTAAAGTAATCTTATAACTGGGCACATTCCTAAGTGTTCCCTAAATATAGCATAAGGCAAGAATAGTTTCAAACTCAGAGGATCTCTGACTTATGTTACTTGAAAATCACATTATATAATAAATTGTGATTGTATATTTACAGCTCCTAGTTAGGGTTACAGCTACTATTTTTTCCCAGAGGGTGTGTTAAATTTTCTGGACAAAAGCAGTATGGAGGGTATCATAATTATTTCAACTTTCTTTCTCAGAAACTGATACTTCAAAAGAATGAATGAGAATTCTAGGTTCCACAACTAATTAATAAGTGACTTTGAACAAAGAGGTTTTTGATTTTAAAATATTCTCATAATAATCCCACATTCCTCAGGTAACTGTCAGATAACTTAGGCTAGCAGAGTGCAGCTAAACACTTGACCCTACTAATGGACACTGGGAGATTATGTAAGATTTATTATTACTAGCCTCATTTTACAGATGAGAAAGCTAAGACACCAGGAGGTGAGGTAATTTGCAAAGCTTAACAATTATAGGACTGAATTGTAACCTCAGGAAGTTTGATTGTAGACCCTGAATATGAAAGCACAAATCTACACTCTCAGTAAGTGAATATATATCATCTGTTAAAATGTTTTCGTTTGTATGTGTCTTAGTTACTTTTCTCTCATTGCTGAGACAAAATTCTTGACACCCAGAATTAAGGAAGGAAAGGTTTATTTGGCTCACAGTTTGTGGAGGTTTCAGTCCATACTCGACTGGCTTCAAGGCAGAGTGGCCCATGGCAGAGGGCAACAGTTCATGGTGGTAGAAGACAGCAAAAGCAACAAGAGCAAAAGGGAGGAGCAGTGGCAACAGCCTCTTCCCTCCCTTACATTGTATGCAAACTCCCTGCCCCAGGGCAAGTGTAGCACTCACACCCATAATTCCAACATTGGACCATGAATCAATCATAAGCTCTAGAAACCCACCCCATGACTGTATTCAGCTTTGGGGGGGGGCATCCAGATACAAACCATAGCAGTATGCAAACATTTTATCTATTTAATAGACCACCCTTCCTTCAATAAAAGTCATATCTAATGTCTAGAAAAGAACTTGAAGATTAGCTTCATTGCCTGTTAACAAATGATTTCACAATCATGCCTTCATTTGACCTTCAGAGTAATCTTACAAATTAAGATAAAGCAGAAATAATTCCTCTCACTTTTCAGATGAGAAAACTGATGCCTCTGATAAGGGTCTAATCACAGGACAAAAGTTGAAGCTGAAACTTAATTAAAAACTTCTAGGTACAATTCCCTTTCTCATGACACCATAAATCTAAATTAGTTAGCAATATGATACGTGTGTGTGGAAACTTATCAAATATCCTATCAGGTAAAATTACAATAAAACAAAAATGTTTCAAAGTATTAAACTAGGTAAAAGTTTTTCAGTCTTATGCTGATACTAGATCTATATAATATTAAAGAATCAGAAGACATTGAAAGTCTCCAGTGACTTTTTTATCCAGTAAAAGAAAGTTAAAATTATACACTTTAAATTCTGTCTATATAGGCACATATATACCAGGTTATTAATATATATTTATTACAAAATACATTTTACCTTGTTTCTTCACTTCACAATTGATTGATACAGAATGATAACATGTGCCTTTTACATAATTATAATTATAAATCTATCCTTTGTAGATAAAGTTGAATAAACTTTAAAATTGTAAATAAAGTTGAATAAAAAAATACCTACTAGTGACAAGACTTGGTGTTGCATATCATGATGGAGATGGGTACAGTTCATTCAGCCCACAGTGTACCAAGGAACTCAGAAGTGAGACAGAGGCCATTACTGTTCATATCTAAATAGACACACAAAAAGATAGCAAAATCAGTCAATAAATATCATTTCCTATAGTTGCACAAGGATATCTTCCCAGTCTGTAGCATTATTGATGTCATCACAATCCGGATGTTTGACAAGCAATCCATGTAAAAGCTTTAATTTACATATTACCATTTGCACACAATGTGAAGAACAGCCACGCAAACACAGGATTTAGTCAGAAAATGCTAAGTAATATTGAGAAGTACATCGGTGATAAACTGATAAAATGTTTCTGAAAGACCAGCAATTCCTCAATAAAAAATAATTCACACAAAACCCCAACCATTTTATTTTTTTTAAGTTTATTTTTCATTAGTACATGTTTGCAGCACATAATGTTTACATTCATCTTAGGGAGTATGTGCATGTGAGGTATTTTGCTTCTTTTTACTTACCATCCCATCTCTAGATCCCCTTCTTAAAAGATGTATCTCCCTGTTTTCTATTGTTCTTAAAACTATTTAGAGAAACTGTGGGTCTCTCATATAAGAGAAACAATTCAATATTTAAGCTTGGGTGTCTGATCTACTTAACATTATGGCTTCTGGGTGCATCTGTTTTCCTACAGATGACTCAAATCTATCATTCTCTATGACAGAGTAGCCTCAACTATGTATAGATAGCATATTTTCTTTATCCATTCATCTGTTGATGGACATAAGGGCTGCTTCCAAGATTTAGCTCTTATGTGTTGTGTTGCTATAAACATGGTCATGTACATATTACTGTGGTATGATGTCTTTAACTTTTTGGAAAGATACCCTAAGTGGAGTAGCTGAATCAAATTGAATTTCTAGCTTTTCTTTTTCAAGGAATCTCCACACTGATTTCTTTAGTGTTTGTACCCTTTAGATTCAACAATGTAGAAGAGTACCTTTCCTCAGCTTTGCCAATATTTGGTATTGTTTGAGTTTTTGTGGATAGCCGTTCTTTCTGGAATAAAGATGAAATCAATTTTAATGTCATTTTAATCTGCATTTTATGGTGGCCAGAGATGTTGAGGGTGTTTTCCTTATATTTATTGCCCATTTGTACTTCTGAGAAATGTCTATTCATTTCAGATGCTCATTTTTTGATTGGGTCTTTTATTTTGGGAGGTCTAATTGTTTTGAATTCTTTATAAATTTTTAATTAGTGCTCTGTCAGAGTAGTAGTAAGCAGTAGTAAAGAATTTTTTCCAATTCTGTAGGTTGTCTCTTCACTCTGTTGGTTGTTTCCTTTGCTGTCCAGAAGCTTTATAATTCAATACAATCCCATTTGTTGATTCTTGATTCTATTTCTCGTGCAATTAAGGTTCTGTTCATAAAGTTCTTTCCTGTGTGGATGTCTGGTATGTTGAACTGGCATCAAATTTTGTTTCTAGAAACAGTCTAATTTGTTCCTGGATTTTTTTTCTGTGACCACTGAATATTCAAGTTTGATACCCAGGTGTCTGTAAAATTTCTGTGGTTTCTTTAGTAATTGATTTCTAGTTTAAGTGCCCTGTGATTTCACAGTATATATGGGATAATTTTTATTGCTTTGTATTCATTTAAGCAAGCCAAACAGGCCAATATGTCATCTGTGTTGAAGAAAGTTACATTTGCTTCTGAGAAGAATGCATATTCTGATGCAGTAGGGTAGAACACTCTGTATATATTTATTAAGTCCATTTGTTCAAAGGTGCGGTTCAGCTCTGATATTTCTTTGTTGATTTTTGGTCTGCTGGATCTATTTGTGAAGATGGGTATAAAGGCTTCCGCTAGTTTATGTTGACATTCATCTGATATTTTATGTCTAGTAGCATTTGTTTTATGAAGTTGAGTGCACTAGTGTTTGATGTGTATATATTTACAACCTTTATCACTTTGTGTTGAATTGTTCCCTTAACTAGTATGTTGTGAACTTCTTCGCTTCTTCTGATCAGTTTCCTTGAAGTCTACTTTGTTTGAGAATTAAGATTGCTTTTCCAGTTTGCTTTCAGAAATTAGGAGCATAGAATACTGTTTCTCATCCTTTGATTTTTAGTTTATGAATTTCTTTTTGGATTAAATGTATCTCTTGAATGTAGCAAACCAACAAGTTATGTTTTTTCAGCTAGTCTGTCAATTTCAGTTTTTTCTTTGGAGAGTTGAGGCTTTTCACTTTGAGAATTATTACTGAAAGGTACTGACTTATTCCTGTCATTGCATTTTTTTCCTATTTTTCTAAATTCCTAAATTTCCTAGCATTTTTTTGCTATTGATTCCTTTATTTTTTCCTTTTGGTTTAACTGTTCATACTGCATGATATATTTTATTCTGTTGCACTTCTTGGCTTTGTTGGTTTTACTGTCCTTGGGGATTTGATGGAGTGCTAGTTTGGTGGTACATCCTTGGGGATTTGTTGAAATGCTACTTTGGTGGTCATGACTTTCTTAAAGTGTTCTTCACCATAGAATGTTTTTACTTTCCCAAAGATTATTAAAGATAGTTTTGCAGGATATGTTAGTCTGAGTTGAAAGCTGTTTTCATTTAGGGCTTGAAGCACTTCATTCCAAACTTTCCTGGCTTTCAATGCTTGTGTTAAAAATTTTAGTATATTTCTAATGGATTTACCTTTATAAATGATTTTTTCTGCTTTTCTCTGTCAGATTTTTAAGATTCTGTCCTTGTGTTAATAAGAATCTGGGATTTTTTACTATGATGTGGGGAGCTTCTTCTCTCCCAACTATTTGGTGTTCTCTAAGCCTATTGAGTTCTTTCCCCATATTTGGCAAGATTAAAATTATGATTTCTCTCCCTTCTCTTTTCCCATATCCCAGTTACCCTTTACCTTTAAGCGCTTTCCTATCAATTCACAATGTCTATCATATCTCCTAGTTTAAATTAACTCTTTCAGGCTTTACACTAGAGAAACAATGTGGTGCTTGCACATGTATGTTTG